CACACTTCCCACTTGCGTGGGAGGTGGCAGTTGGGTGCATGAGGTGTGTGAGTGTTGATGTCTGGTGGGGTGATGGTGGTGGTGGTGGACGAGGAGGGTATGGAGCGTGTGAATGTGTGGTGTGACCGGCGGTTGTTTACCGGAGGTCGTCTTGGATGCGCATGTGGCCGAATAGGCCCATGCGATGTCTGAAGGTGCGAGGGCAGTGTGGGCAGTTGAGACGAGCTTGATGGGTATTGGTTGGTGCTCCAGGCACTGGTTCGCCAGTCTCTGTGCGATGGATTCGCAAGTGACCGATAAGGCCGATCCGTGAGGTGAAGGTGCGGTCGCAGTGACGGCAGGTGTAGTCCTGGTCCTCATCGCTGGAGTCGGGAGAGGTGGGGGTGGTGTCTGTTGTTGTGTCGCAGTTGGTGATGTGCGAGACGGCCGCCTGAGCAGCCGCCGTTGGGGCAGAGGTGTAGGAGGAGGAGGAGGAGGAGAAGAAGAAGAAGGAGGATGGAAGTGGTGGTTCCGATGAATTGTCAGAGGTAGTTAGCGGCGGGGAGGACGAGGAAGAGGCGCTCGGGGGGACGATGGTTGGGCCAGCTCGAGAGGCGCAGTTGATCCGTAGATGCCCAACAAGTCCGATTCGACCCCCGAATGTCCGTTGACATCGAGGACACGTTGGAAGCGGTTGTGCGGCGGCGTTGCGTACTGGGCGCAGTTGGGACTTGCGGGCTTCACGTTTCGCTTTGGCGGCAGCGATGCGATTGGCTTCATATATCGCAGCGCCTGTCTTCACTGTCCTCCTCCAGGTCGGTCGATCGAGTGCGACCTCCTCCCAGTTGGTGGGGTTGATTTGCAGACGCTTCAGGGTGGACTTCAGAGTATCATTGTAACGACGAAACTGGCCTCCTTGACGGCGAGAACCCGTCGCGACGTCTCCGTAGAAGATTCGTTTAGGTATTCGCTCGTCGTCCATGCGCACCAGGTGGCCGCTCCACCGCAGCTGAATTTGCCTCAGTGCGGCGTAGATGCTGAGGATTCCCGTCCGTTCCAGCACATCAGTGTCGGGGATTCGATCCTGCCAGTTTAGTCTCAGGATGCGACGAAGACAACTGAGGTGGAAGTGGTTCAGACGGCATGCCTGCTTTGTGTACACCGTCCAGGTCTCCGCTCCATTCAGCTGCGTCGGCAGGATGACGGCCTTGTAAACTTCAGCTTCGTGTTCAGTTGAAGACCGTGGCGATTCCAAACTGTGCTTTGGAGGCGACCGAAGGCTTGACTGGCTTTCGAGATCCTGTTGGCGACTTCGTCGTCGATCTTGGTGTTGCGGGAGAGAGTACTGACCAGGTACAGGAAGTTCTCCACCACTTGCAGTTGGGTGCCGTTCACGCTGATTTGCGGCTCATTGTGGGGTGTGGCGGTGTTGGGTTGCGGCTGATGCATCACCACCGTCTGCTGCGTATTAATGACCAGACCGGAGTTCTCGCAGGCGGCAGAGAATAGGCCCATGCTGCGTTGCATCTCCTCTTCCGAGGTGGTGCTCAGGGCGCAGTCGTCGGCGAAGAGAAGTTCGTAGACGGTGGTTGTGGATACGTGCGATTGGAAGTTCATGCGCCGTTCATTCAGCAGACGACCGTCCGTTCTGTAGGCGATGCGGATCCCGGGGCGTTCGTCGCGGTAGGCGTCCATCAGCATGGCAGAGAACATAAGACTGAAGAGGGTAGGCGCCAGCACGCAGCCCTGCTTCACTCCGTTAGTTGCTGCGAATGCCTCTGAGACAGCTCCGTTTTCCATGACTCGCGCCATCATACCGTCGTGCAGCTGACGCACCATCTGAGTGAATCGCTCCGGACAGCCGAATTTCTGCATGATCTTCCACAATCCTTCACGATTCACCGTGTCGAAGGCTTTCGTCAGGTCTACGAAGGTAGAGTACAGGTGGGTCCGCATCTCCTGGCACTTCTCCTGGTGTTGACGGGCGGCGAAGATCATATCCATGGTCCCTCAACGACGACGGAAGCCGCATTGGCTTTCCGGCAGAAGGCCCTGTTCCAGATGATTGTTCAGACGATTGAGGAGGATGCGAGTGATCATCTTCCCGACGATGTTCAGCAAGGAGATGTCGCGGTGATTGTCGCAGACATGGTGGTTCCCTTTTCGCTTGTATAGGTGCACGATGGTTGCGTCTTTGAAATCGTGCGGGACTTCGCCTTGACGCCACATCTCCTGGAAGAGCGCAGTCAGGTGATCCATGAGTTGTGGACCGCCGTGCTTGTAGACCTCAGCAGGGACCGCGTCCGATCCAGGCGATTTCCCGCCAAAGAGCTGCTGCACGGCCCTGATGGTCTCCTGGAGAGATGACGGGAGGTCGAGGTCCGCGTTGGTCTCCACTTGCGGCAGACGCTCGATGGCGGCGTCGGAGATGGCGGTGGGGCGGCTGAGGACGCCTCGGAAGTGCTCGGCCCATCGCTGTAGGATTTGCGTCTTCTCAGTCAGGAGAGTGCTACCGTCGGCGCTGAGGAGAGGAGCAGTGCCCTTTGTCGGCGGACCGTAGATAGCTATGATCGCGGAGAAGAAGTTCTTCCACTCATTGCGGTCCGCGTGGCCTTGGATCTCCTCAGCTTTGCGAGCAGTCCAGGCGTCCTGCATCTCGTGCAGTCGTTGCTGGAGGTGGCGACGTCTGCGGTAGAAAGCAGCTTTGTTGTCCTCAGTGGGGTGATCTACGTAGGCTTTGTGTAGGCGGTTCTTCTCAGCAAGCATATTTCTGATGTCGGCGTCGTTGTCGTCGAGCCAGTTCTGGTGTTGGCGGGGAGCGCGACCGAAGACGGCGAGCGCCGTCGACTGGACCGTGTCTCGCAGTTGACACCATCGGTTCTCCACGGAGGCGTTGTTGACAGAGACGGCGTCGTCTGCGGCAGCGATAAGAAGGTTGTCTAGCCGTTGAGCTAGCTCATTGCTGAAATTAAGATGGTGAGCGGACACACACACACACAACTGAATGGACTGCGTCGACAGAGTTGCCGCGTCAATCAGCTACCTTCCTATCCACGGACCTTGACGCGTCGTGATAATCTCAGTCTCGAGTCATCCATGCGACAGGAGCCGCATGGAGACTACATCGGGTCACACACTTACCACTTGCGTGGGAGGGGACAGTTGATTGTTTGCTCATGTGGCCGAATAGACTCATGCGGTGCATTAATGTGCGAGGGCAGCGTGGACAATAGAGGCGGATGCAGCAGGTGTAGGTTGGTGCTTCAGACGCTGGTTCGCCAATGTCCGTGCGATGGATTCGGAAGTAATCGACCAGGCCTATGCGTGAGATGAATGTGCGGGGACAGTGTGGGCAGGAGAGGTCGGTGTTGTCGGTGTCAGTTACGGAGG